AGCCCACGGGTACGGCACACTGTTCCCATGGCGACGAGGCAGGAGTGGCCTTCACCTCAGCGTCACTTCACCTCACCTTGTGATTAGGAAACTTATTTGGCTGACTTGATTGTCTCCCTCGCAGCTGGCTTTCACGTGCACAAGATATGGGTTTGTTATCTCATGTTGCTGTACACTGTATGCTTCTTCTATGCGCAAGAATTTAACCAGTTAGAAGTGTTGTAAGCAGAGAGGTAGAAAGAATAAAAACCCCAGGAAAGTTTTCCTGGGAGGCTTTTGAGGCTGAGAGGCTTTTCGGCTACCACAGACCAGGCGTTCTGTTTCCTTTCCTCTGTCGTCACCACAAGGGGGTTCGCCAGAAAAATTTCGCTAATGGCGGACAGAGGACCCCGGGCATTGGAGACAGCAGGTGGGACCCAGTTGCAGGGCAGACACCCCGAGCCCCAGGGAGAGTGGGGCCGGGCAGTTGGGGTTGGCAGCCCAAGTCCCGGCGGTCAGCGTGGGAGCTGGCAGCCTGAACCCCAGCGCTCCGCGCGGGGCTGGCAGCCCGAGCCCCAGGGAAAGTGGGGCCGAGCAGTTGGGGCTGGCAGCCCAAGTCCCGGTGGTCAGCGAGGGAGCCAGCAGCCCGAACCTCAGCACTCCGCGTGGGGCTGGCAGCCCAAGCCCCAGGGAGAGTGGGGCCAGGCAGTTGGGGCTGGCAGCCCGATCCCTGCCCCCATCAGCGGGGGAGCCGGTAGCCCGAACCCCAGCCCGAGCCCGAGGAAGAGCGGGGCAGGCAGTTGGGGCATCCATCACACTGAGGAAATTTAAACTTAAATCCCTGAAAATATTCATTTTTAGGAGGGGGTTCATGAGATTTCACAATTTAGTGAAAGGGGTTCGCGGGCTGTTAAAGTTTGGGAACCACTGGGCTATAAAGTAAAGCCTGAGTGTTGCTTTCACCTGGCCACTTTGCAGTGAGGATGCAGGCTAAACCACTCAGTGCTGATAGCCCTCCAGTGCCTTACCACAATTCCCCTGGGTGCCCAGAAGGGCAGGAAAGTTCTCCCACAATTCCCTGGGAAAGAATCACAGAGCGGCTCAGCTCAGGGCAGCACAAACAACTGAAGTCCTAGCACCTCCTCTGGGTGAGCACAGCACTAGCGTGGCTGCTCGTCCCCAGGCAGGACCACCCAGGGTACAGATCCCCTCCGTTAACTCTGCAGCGCAGACATAGCCTTAGACTCTCTGTGCCTCAGTTCCCCATCTGTACAATGGGCATAATATTCCCACTCTGCCTCATGGGGTTCACAAGGATAAACACAGTGATGATTGTGAGGTGCACTATAGCAATGGGTCCCCGGACAGAGAACTGTATGTATATACGTTTAAACATATCTGCCAAGTCTTGTGCAGCTCCAGGTGTGATATTCAGATATTTAATTAACTAATTGGCATAGAACCCTAAACTTCAGCTTCAAGCACTGGAGGCTTTAGTACCGGTGAAAGGCATTGTTCCTTTGTCTGTCTACAGGATAGCAGCCAGGCAGGCTTCCCGCATGTGCTGCTCTCAGCCCTGGTCTGGGAGTAGGGGTTTGTCTAAAGGTAACAGGTGCAGATCAGTCTCCACAGCCCGTTCAGGACTTGGCCTCTCTATTCCCTTGGCCACTTATTGCAAAGCCTGGTGGTGAGTTTGTGACAAGGGAGACAACTGAGACCTGCCAAACTCATCTCATGCTGGGGCTACCTGGAATCTATCAGAGGGGAGCAACTTTTAATCACTGTTGAGCTGGGCTGGATTACAAGGCTTGGAATCTCATTAGCAAAGCCTGGAGCCAGGTAGGCAAGTGTAACATTGCCCAATTTGGGTCACCAGCAGGGATTGAGCCTGGGAACGTACACACCTCCAATGTAGTTATACCCTAGGGTTACCATATTTCAACAATCAAAAAAGGGGGGGGAGCCCCGCCCCCATCCACTCCCTCCCACTTTCCGCCCCCTGACTGCCCCACTCAGAACCCCCAACCCCTGTCCTGCTCCTTGTCCCCTGACTGCCCCCTCCTGGGATCCCTGCCCCTAACTGCCCCCCAGGACCCTACCCCCTACCTAAGCCTCCCTGCTCCTTGTTCCCTGACTGCCCCCTCCTGAGACCCCCCCACCCTAACTGCCCCCCTAGGACCCTATCCCCTACCTGTCCCCTGGCTGCCCCAACCCTTATCCACCCCCCCACCCCCAGACAGACCCCCGGGACTCCCACGCCCCATCCAACCACTCCCTTCCCCCTGAGAGACCCCCCCAGAACGACCCATTCAACCCTACCCCTGTTCCCTGACTGTCCCCCAGGACTCCCCTTACCATGCCCATGCCGCTCGAGCCGCTGGCTCCACGTGGAGCCGAACCAAACAGGCTGCCGCGCTGCCAAGCGCACAGCCCCTCCTCCGCAGAGTGCTGAGGCAGCGGGAGGGGGGAGCGGGGGAGGGGCTCTGGCTGCTGGAGGCCAATGGGAGTGGCTCAATCAGGCCCAGCCGCCCTATCAGCCGCGCCGCACTCTGCATGGGGAGCGGAGGGGGGGAAAATCCCAGACCTTTCTACCTTATTACCAATTCCTCCCGGATGGCTATTTAAAGACGAAAAAGCCGGACATGTCCGGGGAAATACGGACGGATGGTAACCCTATTATACCCTATCTCTGCGGTCCCATGCTTGAGTTCCATCCGGGCTCTCATGGGTGATTTCAAAACCCCTCCAGCAACATGGTCGTGCAGATCACTTCTCGAACAGCCGGGCAGTGGGCGGAGCCTGCTGGGTTGAATGTTCTGAGGCCTAGAGCTGGGCGGGAAATGGGTTTCCCATCCCACGAACATTGCTGAGATTTCAAAAAACAAATTCCTGTGCTGCAGAGGGATGGAACCGAGACCTTTTCTGCAAGGGGACTCACATGGGAGACCTGGAGTCAAGCCTCTCCAAATCAGACAGCTTTTGGGGTGTGAACCTGGGTCTTCCACATCAAATCCTCTGTTGGAGGGATTTGATCCTGAGTCACCTACATCCCAGCTGAGTGTCCTGACTGTTGGCTACTTGGAGGTGGGGCTGGCTTCTCATACTCATGGGCGGTGTCAATCCTGAATTTTCAGAGAGCCATCATATCTAGCCTTTTGTTTGATGGTGAGGGGCCTGTCTCACTCTCAAAAGCACAGACTCTTGCCAGGTTTAAAGCAACAACTTTGCTGCAAAACTCTCCCTCCCTCCCCCCAAAACCAGGAGGATGCAAGGCCAGATCCGCAGCTGCCGAGTTTAGCATGGGGACATTGGGAATCTGCAAAGGATGTAATGAGTTTCCCCAAGCAGCGGCAGGGGGTAGGATGGGGAGCCAGGCAAGACTTGGCAGCTGCGAAGCTGGGCAGGTCGGGAGGTAGGGGAGCGGCTGGTGTGTGTCTGGGATTGCTGGGTGGGCTCTGGTGCTGGCAGGGTGCTTCTTTCCCTCTTCCTCTCTGGAGCTTGGCTGAAGGGAGCCGGACAGAGCTCTGCTTTGGCTGGGGGAAGCCCTGTTGAAAATGGGTGTCGCCCTTAAAGAAGCAGGACATCCTTCAACATTTCTTTCTGTTTCCTCTTTGTTTCCCCACCCACTACGGTGTTGAAATGCCACCTAGGCAGCTCCCGACAGCCCAGCCCACGCAATAGGCCACACCCATTTCAAAATCCCCTGAATCGGGAAACATGTTACGCTATCACATGACTTGCTGGTGTTCTCGGTGTGGGACCGGAGGGCTAAGGACCCTAGGCCATGTCCTGCATAACCCTACCAGCAGGGCTACGGTGAGCATCACAAAGTTGGGCCTCTTTTCCATGTAAACCATCCGCAGACCCTGCCTTAAGGCGGCTGGTTTGAGGTCCAAGAACTGCGTTGTTTTTGAATGCTAGTGCGTGTGATGTGCATGCACCCCATAGGGGTACTTTGCCTTACCCTGGGCACCCTCGGGGGCGGCTCCAGGCACCAGCGCAGCAAGCACGTGCCTGGGGCGACAAGCCGCGGGAGCGGCCTGCCGGTTGCTGTGAGGGCGGCAGTCAGGCTGCCTTCAGCGGCATGCCTGTGGGAGGTCCGCTGGTCCCGCAGCTTTGGTGGTAATTCGACGGTGGGGACGCTGAACGCACGGCACCGGCGGACCTCCTGCAGGCATGCCGCCGAATCCGCGTGACCAACGGATCGCCGAAAGCTGCCTGACTGCCATGCTTGGGACAGCAAAAACCATAGAGTCGCCCCTGCTGGGCCTTGTCCAAAGCAGGACTTGGACTAGTTTTGGGGCAAGGTATGTTGCCTTCTCCCAGGTTAGGGCCATCGTGCTTTCTCCAGCAGTCTCTCATACGCATAGAAGACGGGGCGATGTTAGTGTAGAGCTAAATGGAGAAGCAAAGCAAGATGTGGGACTCCTCTTCATTGAGCGTACATTGACTTGTCCTGTATATATCACCAGTCCTTAGACACAGTGATGTCTAGTGGTTAGAGCAGGAGCCTGGGAGTCATGAAACTTGTGTTCTACTCCCACTTCTGCCCCCCGGCTCATTGCTCTGCTTTAGACAAGTCTGCCCCCGCTCTGTGCTGTCATTTTCCCAGCTGTCAAATGGCGATACCTGCGGGAGAAGCTTTGAGATCTGTGGCTGACAAGGTGCAGTGGAAGTTCAAAGTACTGTAGCATGACTGTGATAGAGCCACCCACTCAGAGATCCCTTTTCCAAACACCTCTGGGAGACTTCAGCGCAGTAGCTGAATTTCAGAGTGGGCCTTTTTCTCACTAAGAGGCTCAAGCAAAACCTGTGTCAGAACCCCCCGTGTTTGATAAAGCGAAGGTCTGAACTTTGCTGGTGGGGGCCCAATGAATGTCCCGTGGATGAAGATCTATAGGTATTTCCATAGCAAAAAACAGCGTTACAGCACTGCTGTCTCCGATCCCATTGGCACTGGGCTTGCTAGCTGCTGCAAAACACATATAGGTTTTACAAATAACGATTTTTCTTTTAACCAGGGACGATGCATAAACTTCACCCGGGTGAAATCAGACGGAAGCACAACCCCATACTGCCCGCCGCCGAAGCACGACGCCACCCCCCTCAACAACACTCCGAGAAGCACCTCGCCTTCGGCCTCTCTGCAGCCTCCTTCCAGGCAGCCGCCTCCTGGACCACCTCCATCCCGAGTGCCCCCGGGACCTCCTCCGGCGCGCCCGCCCCCACAACCCCTGGCTTAGAGTGCGGCAAAAACCAAGATTGCTCTCTGCTGAGCATGGCATATTTATTGAGGCTTGGTTTACAGTCGAAAGATAGCAAATTTTTTGGCTGAAAAAAAAAAAAAAAAAAAATTGCCAAGTGTCAGTTTTACTGTATAAATATATTTATGCCACACGTGCTGAGTAAACATTCAGTGGATAATTCTGGAGCTACTGGATGTAGAACAAAACTGAAACAGTAGCAGTGTTTATATAGATATATATACACACATACACATTCTTTGGATTTATCCACACATGACGTTTGTATGACATTATATGTCCTATCATACATGAAAACCCGAGCCAGATACACATGCATCAGTCAGTCGAAAGGTGCCACCTGCAAATGAGTTGGGTAAACGTAGGGAATTGAAAGTTGCTCTTCTCCCCACAAACACAACGTGAACAGGGAGCTGTGATTACAAGGGAGCATTCTCCTTGGTTTGTTCTGCAAGGGGAATTTCCCTGGGTAATGATAACGGAGCAAGGTGAGCTATTCACCATGCAGTTCCAGTGATTTAGGGTGTGGAATCTGCCCTGTGTTTTTTTTTTCCCCCGAGAAGCTCAGTTTTGAAACCAAAATCTTTGATTTAACTAGATTTGGCCTTTGTTCTTAATTTCATCAGACACAGGCCGTAAAGGTTAATTTGGGGTTCTGAAAACCTCAGACTGGGGCAGATCTTTCCAAAGTTCAGGGGAATGTGGAAAAAAGTTTCTAGGTTTTTTGCATTTTTTAATTTTCATTTATATAAAAAGGCCTCCCACATGGAACAGAAGTATATGTCCCTTATATGTGACTGCTACTGTATATAAGTAGCATGTCTGATACATCAGACATACGTGGGAACAAACAGGGACTGATCCCACATCTGCTTCCCATAGACTTCACTGCTAGCAGGAGTGAAGGATTGAGCTCTTTTGTGATTCAGATGAAAACACATCTGAGTCCTTTTATATATCAGAGACCCCCTGCCCTCAATATGGAACATTACTATCTATCTGTGTGTATAAAACGCACAGAATCTGATCTGTCAGCATGGGCTTCCCTTTTGGTTTTTATTCATCCCAAACCTGTGGGACTCCTAAACATTGATGAGCCTCAGTTGTGTCTGACACTAAGCAGAGACACAAGCGCATGCACGTAGGTGGGGAATATCTGACGTGGGATTACGGGGTGCCTCATGACTGGGGCTTGCTAAATGCTAAAGCCTGAGTGGTTTGTACCCAGCTCATCCCTAGTGAAGCAAAATAACTCATGGACTTACATTGCTCGCCCCATCCTATATTATACTGCATCAGGAAGGGTGTCTTCAGATCCACATGTAAATGGTATTACTGGAGTCGTAGAGAGGATGACCATGTTGCATCTTAGAATCGTAGGACTGGAAGGGCCCTTGAGAGATCATCTAGTCCAGTTCCCTGCACTCATGGCAGGACTAAGTATTGTGTCTTATTGGCATGGTCCATCTATTTCTGTGGGGGAGCAGATACAACCTTGCACCTATTCTTGGCCATATAATCCCAAGAGGAAACTGTAGTAATGCCTTGCATTTACTCTCACTTTATGGCATCTGCACTCCTGGTGCGACATAAAGAGGCCTTAGGGTAGATGAGAATCAGGCTTGTTTTTTCCAGTGGAAATGCCCAGTTGCAGAACCCAATAACTAGCTCTCACCATTCTATGCTGATCATCGTTACAGGCTGTGTGTACAGAACAGGAGATAATAAAGGGCCCAACAAGGCCTAATTGGTAAAGACACGCAGCGCTATGGCATGCTATTGGGTCATAAACTCAGCTCACAGGAATCAGCATAACTCCACTGTGAAGTCAGAGGAGCAGCACCCATTTACACCAGCTGCGGATCTGGTCCCATTGACTACACTGGAATTGCTCCTGGTTTAGACCTGAGACAGCAAAGCACTGAAGAATGTGGTTAACTTTAGGTCTATGATTAAATTCCATTGAAGTCAATAGGCTTATTTGCATGCTCAAATTGGGGCCTCACACTGCACTGAGAGGAGAATCAGGTACATTACTTATAGCTTGGTCCAGTCCTACCTTCCTTACTCCACATGAGTGCGGTCTGCCGGGTTGGCCCATACGTGGCAGAGACAGAGGGAATGGCTTGTGGTGGGTTAACATCTCCTATCTGGATTTCTCCCCCTCCATTTAAAGCATTTGCTTTGAGAGCAGCACTCCCACATCTGCAGCCAGTGTGACGTCTAATTAGTCAGCAGTTGTTTGTTCTCACCTCTTTAAGTTGAAAGGCAAAAATAATGTGTCTTATTCTCCATTTCAGTTATGGCGAAACTCCACTGTCTTCAGTGAAGGGGACTGGATGAGCCGGGGGAGAGTGGGAATGGGCTGCCAACTTTTCCATGGCAAGACCATCCATTTAGCCCAGACTGGTAGTGACTGGACGTTGGTATTGCCTGATATCTCTTTGGAGGCCTCTGTGAAATGAGTTTGGTGGGTCTCAGCCCAGCCCCTAGCGGACAGGTGTCTACATCACAATAAGCAGTTGGCATTAACCACCCCTCTTGTTGGCAATCTCAGCGGAGGCCGATAATTGAAATGACAAAGGATACTGAACATCCCTCCCAGCCTCAAGCGCTGTCATTGAGATCTGGCACATTGGTGGCGAAGCTTGTGCGGCTACTGCCTGTGCATATAGAAAGGACATTAGGGTTGTCAGACCTTTCACCAACACTTAATTCACCACCAGGGGGGACTGAGGTACTATGGAGACCCACAGTGCTGGGAGCAGATAACAAGCAGGGAAAATTAACTTACAAAAATTGGTTCTATTTATAAAGTTTTTCTTGATGGGCCAGGACTACTGTTAGCCTGTGAGAAAAGCAGCCAAATTCTGTCATCACTTACTTCTGTGTAAATCCAGAGTAGCTCCAATGACTTTTATGAGGTCACTGCAGATGTACACCCAGTGTAAATGCCAGCGGAGTTTGGCCCAGGGATCTGTGTTACATATGCCAATGCCTAAAGGTTTTTCACAAGCTATTCAAACAGCTGACTCATCTGCAGATTGACAGGTATAACAATACTTTTAACTTTGCAAAAATGTGTTTAGTCTTGGCTGTGCAAGGAATCCATCTTCAATAAACTCAGCTGGGATTGCAGTTGTTTGGGATTCCAGATGATGAGATCCATTCGCAGTGCTAAATTCACTGCTGCATTACTCAAGCTTTTCACTGCTCTGACTCCATCTCTTCTAAAACTACCCCAGCATACACCTGGAGGAGGGCAAGGTGTTTCCGTGAGTATCTATAGCTAGAGAGTTAAATTCCCAGGAAATCAGCTTTTGGTTTGTATTGCAAACCTGCCCCTGCAGTGTCTGCAACCCAAGCCCTACAGCATTGTGTGAGAGCTGGACAGTGACATTGGTGAGAAGTAAAAGTGAAACTGACCAGTGTATTTTCATTGTTCAAGCTGAATGCAGCACTAAATGTAAACCTAGGGCACTGGTTGTAGAAAGGACATTTGGACTTGTACAAATCTTTTCCATTTTGATTATTTCAGGAGTTACAATAACACAGGTGAAGCAATTTGGCTTTTTTGTAGTCTATTGGGTCAAAGCCTCGGCTGATTTAAATTGGCATTGTTCCATGGACTTCAATGGAGCTATGCCACTTTGCACCAGCTGAGGATCTGGCTCAGGCTTTTTAACCTGACGGTGTTCCTTTCCCTGGCCTGACAGTTGAATATGCTATTGTTATTTTCATCTGTATGTTTGGCCAATTGTGATTACAGTGCTCCATAGCAAACACTGTAAGGAAGTGTTTCAAAGGGAACGATTCGCCAGTATCTTGGAGCCTCCCGTCTCATTTTTACCTGTGCACCGTGAGTGTCTAATGCTTTCCCTGGCATGATTGGAGAATCTGGATTTGGGAGCATCTGGCACACACTTAACACTGGTGTAAACAGTAATGCAAAATGCAAAGCAGTGGAGAATCAGACTCCAAGTGATCAGGATTCATCCAAGACCACCGTGGTTTAGCCTATTAAGGGCTGTGTACCAACCTGAGTTCATGATGCATCAAGATCAAGGCTGTGGGTCAAACAGTCCTAAATCTAAAAAGGTCAGCTCCTCTTATTAGTGAGTGAGCTCAGTGATGGATTGATTCATGAACTGTACCAATTCAGATGCACATGCACCTGTTGTTCTCTAAGCCTTTATATTCTTGTTATGGCTTTTGTCAATGTGATCGGCACCATCCTTTGACTTTTTCATTTAAAAAAAGCATTTTCCCGAGAAAACAGCCCAGCTTCTGTAAATATAGAGAGTTTAACACAGAGGAGACAGGACACTTCTGAACTTTACTGCTGGACAGTTAGAGTAATTTATTAAAAGGGGCTTAAGGTGAATAAATACAGGTGGCCCAGGATGCTATGCATGGGAGTGTGATAATACGGTATGGTATTCTTAAATTGTTCTCTGTAGCTTTGGGAAACGGGAATTATTGGGTACTGCCTAGTACATTTAGACATTTGTTACTGATCTGATGCTTTTGAGTAATGCAAAATGTAGGAAAACCGGGAGATTTCTAACGTTTAACAATGCTTGAACAGATATGTAGATAATGATAGATTTACATTTTGGGGAAGAGAGAAATTGCTTGGTTTATAAGGGAAAACAATGTACTGTACAAATATTTTCTAGAAAGATGTACTCGCTCAGAAATAGTGGGGATGTGGGCTGACATGACAGCCATAAAACGTTGGGGACAGAGGAAGTTGATGGAACGTGTTGGATTTCTTATTGCTAAAGTTTAAGGGGGTTCTTCATGGGGGTTTGTTGCCGGTACATGTGGTACAACTTTCTGTAACTAACATGCTGCTTCCATGTTATAATTGTATAACCTTAATGCATTTTGTGCGCCTGCTCCATTTCTCTGAAAAACCCTGCGACAATAATATCTACATGCAAATGTGGGAAATGTAGCCAAAATCTCATAATCCAACGTAATGTAGTCTTAATGGATTTTAAATCAGCAATAAAAGTGCTTAACGGTTACACATTAGAGCGAATGATTTCACTCCAAGGGACGTTTTAAGTGGCTGCAAGATTATCTGACCCTTTAATATACTGTTCCTCATTAGTTCACTCATGTTGTGGGTAGAGCAAGGAACTGGGAGTCAGGACTCCTGAGTGCTAGCCGGTGCTCTGCTGCTGTGCAAAGGTGTGTCCTGTCTCTGAAGGGACGGCCAGGTGCTCACAACCACAACAGGAGATTCCCTGCTTCACCCTAGGACTGACTTATTTAAACGAAACCAGGGAGCTATAAGCTATCCAGGTTGTCAGGTGTGTGTGATCTCCCTCTCCTTGACTACAGGAGACTAACCTGAGCAAGCAGAGACTTTCTCTGAGGACTTGGGCAAGGAGCTTTGAAGCCTGAGGCCTCCGAGCTGTGATTACAAAGGCTCCTGCCATGAGACTTTACTAAAGGAGACACACCTATTTTGGTTGGTTGTTTTTGGCTTCCCTTGGCCCTGATCCTTTACAGAGGGAATATTTTGATGCACCAACTGGAAAATAAGATGGGGTTCACCTGCAGTGCCACATCTGATCCCATGTGGGGTGTGGAGGAAAGGCCTACCCCTTTACATACTGACCCAATGGGCAGCTGTGTGCCAGCTGCTTGTTCTGTGACCCTCTTTTCCCATTCCTGAATGGGAGTGACAAACCTTGCCTACCTTGCAGGGCTTAATTACTTAGGAGCACGTTCTGATCTCATGAGCATGGCTGAAAATTCAGAGTAATTCCACTAAAGTCAACCACCACAGCAGTTCACACTCAGGTCACCACTGCAAGGGTGTTTTGCTACCTTGAGGGCTTGAGGTATATTTAAACCAAAAAAGAAAGCTGAGATTGTGGAGCATAATTCTGCAGCATGGTGCGAACTCTAGGGCAAATTCTACAGATGTGGGATCACAGGACACACAGGGCTCTTCCTGTGGGGGAGATCTTGCATTTCTTGCTCAAGCAAAGCTCCCACTGATTTTGGGAATCTTGCCTGTGTAATGACGGAGGGATTGGCCCTGTAATTTCCCATCCCATGCAGCCTAGCAAGCCCTTTATTTTCTTGCTGGGAGCATTTCCTCTGAATCTCTTTGCGTCCCCATGGGGCTTTAGCAGAGACGCAGCGGAAGTGGAGAGGTCATGGGGATAGGCCACAAAAATCCTCAAGCCAGGCAGGCCACAATGACTAGCGACCAAGGCTGTGGCAAAGCTGCACACGGTCCGCACGGCATGTCAGCCACTATGGAATGAGAGGGGGGAGGAGAGCGGCCAGGAAGCTGATGCATGCAGATCTGAGTGGGCAGATGCAAGCACACAGCCAGCTGGACAATGCGGAGGCCACAGAGAGGGGAGGCCACAGGGAGGGAAAGCCAGGGAGCACAGAGGCAGATTCATCCCTATGCTGGCCTGGGAAGTGGCCTGTACCTTCCCTATTCAGGGGCTGTAGAGGGGCAGTCTTGCTTCACAGTCCAAACAGGGCTTTGCTGAGGCACAGAATCTTGGATGAGGCTGGGGGAGGGAGAATGCCCTGACCACACCCCCTTCCCGCCCCTTCTATCCCCACCACTCACTGACTACTCTGGCCCTCCCTCCACTTCTGCAGAACCCTGGGGTGTAGGGTAGAGGTGGGCAAACTACGGAGGCCCGCGGGACCCTCCTGCCCGGCCCCTGAGCTCTTGGCCCGGGAGGCTAGCCCCCGGCTCCTCCCCTGCTGTTCCCCCTCCCCCACAGCCTCAGGCTGGCGCAACACTGAGCGGTGGGGTTGTGAGCTCTTGCCCAGCAGCACAGCTGCAGAGCCAGCCTGACCCAGTGCTCTGGGAGGCGCGGCTGTAGCGCCGCCAGCCACCAGTGCTCCAGGCAGGGAGCAGGGGGGGTTGGATAGAGGGCAGGGGAATTCAGGGTGGTGGTCAGGGGGCGGGGCTGTGGATAGGGGTCAGGGCGGTCAGAGGGCGGGGAACAGGAGGGTTGAATGGAGGCAGGGGTTCCGGGGGGCAGTCAGGAAGGAGGGGAGGGTTGGATGGGGAGGCCAGGGGGCAGTCAGGGGCTGGCGTTCTGAGGGCGGTCAGGGAGAAGGGGTGGTTGGATGGGGCAGGGGTCCCGGGGGGGCAGTCAGGAAGGAGAGGAGGGGTTGGATGGGGCGGCAGGGGGCAGTCAGGGGTGGGGAGTCTGGGGGCGGTCAGGGGACAGGGAGGGGTGGATGGGGCAGGGGTCCCGGGGGGGCCATCAGGGGACAGGGAGCTGGGGGGGTTGGATAGAGGGCGGGGGCCGGGCCACGCCTGGCTGTCTGGAATTTCAGAAACCTGATGTGGCCCTCAGGCCAAAAAGTTTGCCCTGGAGCTTTGTAACCCAGGGCAGGGCTAGACACCTGACCTACGACCCCTTTGCACTGTAAAGGGGCTGCAGGCTAAGGGTCAGTCAGGCTCAGGGAATTGCATCATGGCCAAGCCCAATCCTGCTCCCCAGGAAAGAGCCCGGAGTTGGCTTAGTGGATCTGAGTGCTGCATTAAGTCATTGGACCAAACCAGCGGCAGGCTCAGGCAGGCAGAACCTGTGCTGTGGCCGAGTGTGGGGGCTGTTATTCTGCTCATCCCTTTAACCTGAGCCAAGAGCCCCAGGAGCTGCATCCCTTCATCATCAGCATTGTTGTTTCTGACAAACAGCCTGGCACAGGACACAGTTCACCCAGTTGGGCTGCGTGGCCTCCACTGTTTTGCCCAGCTCTAACTAACATTGTGCCGTTGGGGTGTTACGGGAAAGGCAATCCTGAGCTCTTGAAAGAGTTCAGATGCACAAAAGCTCTCCCGGAGCCAGTAACAAACACCAGATGCTCACTGCAGCTGTTGCTGGTTAGTATTCTCATAACACTAGCTACAGGCCTGAGACACAGAATTCAGCTCTGACCTGAACTCCTCTAACCATCAGGAATGTTTGGCTCCAGGGTTCTGGTTCCAGCCTCTCTATAAATAGCCTGTTATGCTGATTTAGCACCTTCCAGCCCAACATGCTAGCTCAGGAGTACAAGCTATATTATAGACACAAACTTACCCTAGCCTGCTGCCCCTGAAATTAATGGCAGGACCCTACGGGCTGCAGCATTTGGGGCCAGGAAGTGAAAAAGACTGCCCGCTCCTGGTGGAATGACAGGCCAGCTGTAAACTACTGACACCGGCAGCTTGAAAAACCCTGTGCTGTGATCTTGAATGAGCACAATGCTCCGGCCATTGTGAATTATAACTCATCTGAATCTCAGCAGCTAAGCAGCACAGTCCCTCTAGCTCAGGGGTGGGCAAACTTGGGGTTCCAAAACTGTATGGAGTGCTGGGTGTAGTGTATTAAATTGCTCCCTGTAGGAATGTGCTACTTACAGTGTACTACTTATGGCTGCCAGTCCTGGTGCTCTGTAAGTAGCACATTCCTACGGGGAGCAACTTAATACACTACACCTGGTGGCTCTCACAGCCACGCTGCCCGGCAGGAGCTCGCAGCCCCACTGCCCAGAGCGCTGGCGGTACGGCGAGCTGAGGCTGCAGGGGAGGGGCCGGGGACTAGCCGCCCCGGCCGAGAGCTCAAGGGACGGGCAGGACGGTCCCGCGGGCCATAGTTTGCCCACCTCTGCTCTAGCTCCATGCAGAGGTATTGACTCAGCACTATTCAGTGAGAGCTGAGCAACCCGCTCCATGCACTGCTCTGACATTCCCTTCAGTTCCCATCCAAGGGTATGTCTATGCTTCTTGACTTTACCTTGACTTTAGCAAAGCTTTTGATACGGTCTCCCACAGTATTCTTGCCAGCAAGTTAAAAAAGTATGGATTGGATGCATGGACTATAAGGTGGATAGAAAGCTGGCTAGATTGTCAGGCTCTACGGGTAGTGATCAACGGCTTGATGTCTAGTTGGCAGCCGGTATCAAGCGGAGTGCCCCAGGGGTCGGTCCTGGGGCCGGTTTTGTTCAATATCTTTATTAATGATCTGGATGATGGGATTAATTGCACCTTCAGCAAGTTCGCAGATGACACTAAGCTGGGGGGAGAGGTAGATACGCTGGAGGGTAGGGATAGGGTCCAGAGTGACCTAGACAAATTGGAGGATTGGGCCAAAAGAAATCTGATGAGGTTCAACAAGGACAAGTGCAGAGTTCTGCACTTAGGAAGGAAGAATCCAATGCACCGCTACAGGCTGCAGACCGACTGGCTAAGCAGCAGTTCTGCAGAAAGGGACCTGGGGATTACAGTGGACGAGAAGCTGGATCTGAGTCAGCAGTGTGCCCTTGTTGCCAAGAAGGCCAACGGCATATTCGGCTGTATTAGTAGGAGCATTGCCAGCAGATCGAGGGAAGTGATTATTCCCCTGTATTCAACACTGGTGAGCCCGCACCTGGAGTGTTGCGTCCAGTTTTGGTCTCCCCACTACAGAAGGGATGTGGACAAATTGGAGAGAGTCCAGCAGAGGGCAATGAAAATGATTAGGGGGCTGGGGCACATGACTTACGAGGAGAGGCTCAGGGAACTGGGGTTATTTAGGCTACAGAAGAGAAGAGTGAGGGGGGTTTTGATAGCAGCCTTCAACTACCTGAAGGGGGGGTTCCAAAGAGGATGGAGCTAGGCTGTTCTCAGTGGTGGCAGATGACAGAACAAGGAGCAATGGTCTCAAGTTGCAGTGGGGGATGTCAACGTTGGATATTAGGAAAAACTATTTCCCTAGGAGGGTGGTAAAGCACTGGAATGGGTTACCTAGGGAGGTGGTGGAATCTCCATCCTTAGAGGTTTTTAAGGCCTGGCTTGACACAGCCTTGGCTGGGATGATTTAGTTGGTGTTGGTCCTGCTTTGAGCATGGGGTTGGACTAGATGATCTCCTGAGGTCTCTTCCAACCCTAATATTCTATTATTCAAATGCTACAGCCGCACAGGCAGCTTGCAAATCCAGGCTCTGATGTGGTCACTTTTGTCCTCGTAGATCATAAGCCCAGCTGGCAACTGAGCCAGTGTGGGTCACAGCTGTGGGATATATATCAAAGGAGGAAGGCGAGTATCAGTGCGGGGGGAGGGAGGGGAAGGGAGGCTGACTTGCTGTCTCACCACAGTAGGTATCCTACTGCTTTCCTGCAGCCACAAGGTGCTCAGGCTGCCACCTCTGATCTGCTGTTTCCCAGGAGAATGTCGAGACCGAAAGCCCATTTGTGCACACGTTAAGGGGGTCGTGGCAAAATATAGAGATAGAAACTCCGTGGCCTGAAAGCAGTTTGTGTGCCACAAACAATAAACCCTGCATCTTCTCGCCAGTCATGGTTACTTAGTGCATACTGAGTGCAGGGGAATTGATTTCATTCTCTGTTCTTTACAGTTTAATGAGACCTCAGTCTTTTAAGGCACATTTTGCACCAGAAACCCTTAGAAAATCCCAGTGGTGAGCCATGGGTGCGCAGCCTTTCTGAAGACTCAGGGGGGCTGTGGAAACCCTGCTTCAAGGGGATTTATTTTAGGAGCTGGATTAGATTAAGTAAATTACACCTTCCTTCCCCTACCCTGTACACTTGTGGGGGAATATTGTTTTAAAGCTTCTTTGCTGTGAGTAGATTATTTCTGGGACCCTTGGAGGGAAATTGAGGTGAGGGGCTGTAGGACTGCTCCAGGCCATGCAGGGAGTGCTCTGAATGTGGTAACCCTCTTACAAGCCCATTTCCCTCTACACTTGGCACTGAGGAGCAGCTGATCCCATTAATGTATAGGGGAGCTCCCAGCGGGATAGTGTTCTAAGTGATCCCAGGTTGTGGGGCTGGCAGTGCCCCCTGAA